CGACACTTGCAGCCACATTTGCCTGGGCTGGAAAAAACCCAACCTGGGTCACGAAATGAAACTAGGCCGCGCAAGAAGCACAACGATCTATTAACTGCTCTTCACCGACATCAACACTTACCTGAGGAAAGATTGTTCCATCTTTCCTTTCATATCCAATTCACTAAGATTGTCTCATACTAAATTTGGTAAAGTTTGTCTGGTTTTAATCATTTTGACTTTACTCTTACTTTATCAATTCAATATCAATCACATAACCCTACTTTTCTTAATAATCATGTCATCTGCTCATGTCGCAATGTTAGTGGAACGGAGGTAATATATGTTAAATTTTAATAAGCGGTATTTAAAGTTAGGCTCCTCATAAACCTAAAAAATAGATAAACATTACAAAAATAAATATCAACTAAGATTTACCAGCAACACTTTCACCATTGGTGAATACCAATAGGCTAAAAAATTGAAGTACTTTTCAATATTAAATCAAAGATTTATTTTATCAATAATTTTTTGTTTTGTATTTTAGAGCCCGTTTGGTAAAAGAGAAATCAGTTGAATCGACTGATTCTGCTTAAATTTATGAAGTTCTCATGTAAGTGGCTGGATTGACTGATTTATAAAAAAATACATTTAAAATATATTTTATTAATAAAAAAAAGAAAAAGTTATATGAAAAATAGCTAAAATGATCATCTACAATAACTTTAGTCAATACAACGATAAAAGTAACTCAAATCTTACATTTTTCTTATTATTACATAATTCAACGCGCGAAAATAAAATTATGTGTTTGGTAAAAAAGTTGGATGGTAAGCCTGATAAGTTGAAAAAAATGGTGACTAAACGGGCTCTTAGTAATTTATCGACAAATAACAAAAAGGTGTAGCTATTTCGTTGGTATTTCATCGGTAATATACCAACAAATATTTCAATGCGTTGTGCAGTTTCGAGGTTAAGCAATATGTGGAGCAAAAGATAAAGTGATGGAGGCTCGAGGGGGGTTTCCAACAAAGATTTGCACGAAAAATGTTTGATGAAGATGTATGATCGATGTATGATAACGACACACGTGTGGAGGATGCATAGTTATCAACGCACCAAACCATTAACAAAGTGACAAAGGAGATATTTAAAAAAAATCTAAAGGATGTCTGTCACAAAAAAAAGACACGTCTCGATGGAAGATGAGGTGAAACAAGCCACAATGAACAAAAGTGAATACTACAAGAATTTGGAAAAAATTGTAGGGATGAAAATATATATGAGTACAAGGAGTCAGAAAGAAAAGCTAAGAAAGTTGTGAATTGAAGGAAACACGGTGGAAACTAAGCAAAGAACTGTAAGTAAAATTGGGTTCTAAATAAGGAGAAAATTATATTTGTATATCTGCTAATCTTCGTTATCGTATGACTCAAAATATCGAAAAAGTTAAGTGTGTGAAAAATGATGATAAAAGGATACTAATGGAGGATGAAGAAATAAAAGAGAGATGAAGTCGGATTTTGACATATTAATCAATGAGAATAAAGCGCAAGATATTGATGATCTTCCTATACTAGATTGTGTTGGAAATACATATATAAATGGCGGAAGCAATACAATAACAAATCAAATGAATTGTTATAATATTTCTAGGACCTTCATTATGTTGAATAATAGAATATAATAAAATACTATTTGGATCCATAGCAAAAAATCGTAGGAGGAATGGAACGGAGTAAATGGCGTCTGACTTTTCCTCAGTTGAACCGTTCTGAAGCCTTAGTCTCTCCTATGATGGGGAGAGGAGAAAGTGAATGGTGGGTTCAATGTATTGGGGAGCATAGCATATATGTAGTGTGTTTGTCTAGCTAGGTTTCTCATTAAACCCTAACAAGTAACACGAGCCCATACAGTTTATCTTTTAATAGTCTATTGCGCTTAGATAATATTGACCACACAAAACCCAGTCATGATAAATAATTAATACAATAATTATAATATTAACTCATATAAATTATTGGAATGAAATATTCCAACAATCTCCCACTTGTGCTACATATTATAATTATATTTCTTTAAGTGTGTCTTAGTATGATTTGCTATCTATCTTTAGACTTGGATTTGGACAATCTGGTCCACCTCATGTATTAACAATGAGATCATTGCAGCTTTTGTTATATTGTTAATTCATGACTAAACCACAACAATCACCACTGATGGAGTATATGGCCCAGAAACCCCCGGCCCACATACCCCCACTACTACAATCAGGCCCAACAGGCCCAAGTGGAGCAAACACGGCAAATTGGACTCCGGACAGCCCATACTACAACAAGGTGTTGCCTTACGTCCCATACCTGAAGGCCCAGGAGACGTACGTCTTTCGTCACATGAGTGCCCCAGGGGACGTACGTCCTTCGTCACATGAATGCCCCAGGGGACGTACGTCCTTCAGGACATGACGGCCTCTTGGCGACGTACGTTCGTCAGCACATGACTGCCTTTTGGGTACGTACGTCCTCCTGCACATGAAGAGCCTTGGGTACGTACGACCTCTAACACATGAAGAGTCTTGGGTACGTACGGCCTCTAACACATGAAGAGTCTTGGGTACGTACGGCCTCTAACACATGAAGAGACTTGGGTACGTATGGCCTCTAACACATGAAGAGCCCTAGGTACGTACGACCTCTAATACATGAAGAGCTACAGCTACATATGGCCCTTTGGGGACGTACGTCCTTCACCACAGAACGACCCTTTGGAGACATACGTCCTTCACCACATGCGGCCCTGTGGGGACGTACGTCCTTCACCACAGGACGGCCCTTTGGAGATGTACGTCCTTTACCACATGACGGCCCTTTGGGGACGTACGTCTTTCACCACATTACGGCCCTCTGAGAACGTACGTCATTCAGCACATGAGGTCCTCCCCATCTACGTACGTCCCGAGCACGCCACCAAGGCCCAAATGGCAACATAGCTTTCAGCACACGCAGCCCCCTGGTGCATGTAGCCGAGGGCACTCTCCTCGACAGGATCTTCTCTCCACATGCTCTGAATCACCGCATTAAATGCGGTGTCACGCCCAACCATCGCATTAAATG